CGCAGCTACCGGGCGGTTCTCACCGCCCCGGGGCGGGCAGCGGCGCGGACCCTCCGCTCCCGCTTAAGGACAGACCCGAAACGCCGCTTATTCAGAGGACCGGCCCGCCCTGGTGCCACAGCTGACTGCCCGAGACAGCAACCGTGCAGCCGTATATAACCCTGGTCACTACCGTGTCGTCATTCTGGGGTCACCACAAACTAGCCCGGATCTGCGTTCACCTCAGCCCTCAGGAAATAATGTGCCTGCACACGTGCGGCTGCCCCTTCCAGAAGAGAACGATTACTCAGCACTCCGTTTCCTCCCATTAACATATTGCAGGTGAACTACAAGCTTCGTGATAAACATCATCCACTTAAAAAGCCACCCAGGCGTTTAACATCTAGAAATGAGAGGGTAAACCCTTCCCCTCGGCTGCCGAGGTGGAATGGGCGTTTCTCTGAGACAAGTTTCAGATGCCCAGTTTTGCCACAGAAGGCTGGTGCCATGCGCAAATATAACTCTATAATAAATTGTAACTCTTGTCCCAGCCTGGAGATCTTGAAAGAGCAGAGGGGCCCTCGCAGCAGCGCCCATAGCACCCCGTGGGACACCAGAGCCTGTGGGCAACACCGACGACGAGACTTCTGCCGGCACCGCAACCCCCAGCAGCACCCCACCCGCCTGCATTTAGGGGGAAGGCTGTTCTCATGCCTGTCTTTCTAAAGACACCGCTCTGTAACCTTCCTATTTCTCACCACCGCCACCCTCCAAAGCAGCGCCACTGACACCGTCATCAGAAACACATCTTGGGAAGTGATGCCGGTCAGCGGGGATGCAAACCAATAGATAAGGAAAAAATCTACAAGGAGTCTTTTTCCAGGGACTAAGCTATTAAAACAACAAACTACAGAAGTAAAGCACACCTAATACAGCTAACAAGATTATAACAGGCACCATGGTTTCCCTGCCAGGACACTTCTAATCATGCCCACATTTTTAAATCCCTGCTAGCAGGAGACAAACAACTGTGCATAATTACTTGCAAGCACAAGTTAACAGCTCTAAGCGGGGATTTTCTCCTGTTCATCAGTTTGGTATACAATCCATACCAACCACTGATTTTTCCAAACACCAAGAGGAGTTAGAGCAGCAATTGATACATTTTACATGCTAAAGCCAAAGCAAGTTAAAGGCCACATTTTCAAAACAAGATATTTAATTTCACTTTCATTACAAGAGTAGTCACCCCTTATGAGGAAAGAAAGGTAGCATGAAGGCAACATACAAAATGAAAACAGATGAAAACTATCTTTTGTGCTCACATGTATTGAAAGGACTAATTTTCCTGGTAAAACTCACAAAACTATGTTTTATTCGTAGCTTTGTAATACGTTTTCTATTTGGAGTCAGACACTCGCAGCGAAATCCTGCTCCTGTTGAGGTCAGTGACATACCCGTAACTGCATTAAACGAGGCTGAATTTCACCCTTCATTCTTCAGGCTGCCAGCTACAAAAAAGAAAGTATTACTCTGAGGAGCTGTGATGCCTCAGAGGTAAATCTTCTGAATGTGAAGAAATGCTAGATGTATATTTTGTCTGCACAGTTACTTGAAGAAAAATTGGTTTGTCAGAATTTGTTATCTACCTGAAAACATAGGCAGAAATGTCAGCTTTAAAAATAGCCTTCTAGCAAAAATAAAGGCTGACTTCAGACGAGAGGTATATCTTCAATATCTCCACTAAATAAAGGAAGATGTTAGCACAGAATTACAATTCTTTTTATCTGCATAAACTATTTTCCCCTCGCTTTGAAATTCTCTTGTGATATTCCAAGTCAATAAGGAGTCCCCAGTAAGCCTCAAATACTAAAGGGTATCACTGTCTACAAAAAAACCCAGCAGATACAGGTGATGTGTCTCTTTGGGCTGTCTCCGATAAGCTAGGAAAGACTGCAACATATCCAGAGGGAGGAACCATAGTGAGAGGACAGGAAAGGGGCTGAACTGATTTCTTATTTTTTATTTTTTTTTTATTTTATTTTACTAAAATCTATTTGGGGGGCTGACAGTTTCCAGATTCCACCTAGTTGGCCATTCAGTACTAAAGACTGTTCTTAATCCACAAGTGGTCTTTGAAGTTCACCTTTTGAAATTTGAAAGTATTTGCTACTTGTCTTGGGACTGTCGAAACACCTGTTTGGTCAAAGCTTAACCTTGCCTTCACTGATTATTTGGAATACAAGGAAAATGAAGCTAAAAATATTGAAAGCAAATTAAAAAGTGATTATCAGAAAAGAAAAAAGAGAGCAGTAACACGGAGAAGTCATTCCTTAAGAGGGTAAGAGAGATGACTTAGCTGTCTGCTGAGCTGGGTCAATGAAAACGATTAAGAAACAACTTCACAAATCAATGGAGAGGTTATCTGAAAATGCCTGAGAAAGTGAAACTAACACAGAAAGGACCATGTGATTATGGTTTCAACGTTCTGATTAAATAGGTTCAATTTTTATTACTTCCTGTTATTGCTATAAAGAAATGTTGTACAGCCAGGTTAATGATAGTTTTTCCTCCTCTTGTCATTACAGTCTCTGACACAAAAATAAGGTACCCAAACAGGAGTGTCTCACTGCACTGGGAACTGTTCCCAAGGAGCCATTGTTTTCACTCTTCCTGTAACTGGGTTTGCTGGACGTTCCTGTTTTCTCTATCTCAATTCACACACGTCTCTTAGAAAGAAAGATATATAAAGCCAGACGGCCAAAAAGCATGACACTAAAGAAGAACATGGCAGTGAAGAATGCTATTTTTATGCTCAGAGAAAGTGGAAGCCGAAAACACCGGTCTCAATGACATGAGAACTGTCAGCAAGAACAGATAATTACACAACGTGAATTCATCCTCATGACAATGAGACTAATGAGATAGGAAATGGAATAAAATCAATGTTCTATTTACATTGACAGTACAGTCTCAAAGCTTGAAATGGCCAAATGGTTGTCTTTTAAATAAAGAAATACAAAAATTACTGACTGCCTTACAGTATTTTCAAAACACCTCTGCCAAATTCATAGTTTACCAATAACAAATCTCAACATAAAATTTGGAGAAGATACAGCAGTTACTTCATGGCACGACTGAAGGATATAATTATAGCGCTGTCAAAAAATTAAGCAGAAACAATGAGCTAATTAACATGTTGGCCACATAACGGTGAAGGATTGGTTAAAGAAAAAATATCCTTTAGTAAACTACTGCTGAACAAATCAAATTGGTCTTGTACTCTAACTCTGTAGGAACTGTACCCACTACACCAATACAACAGCACGTAAAAGCAAACAGACCCCTCTCTCCATTTTGTACTTTTGCATACATTGGGGAAATGGACAAAGGCAGCAGCACAGAACAGCCAGCTGTGAAGTGGGAATGCCCTGATACTGTACCATCTGAGGTGTATTTCGTAGCCCCCCCAGCCCAGCAACTTGTGACATAAACAGAGCTCGGTAAAACTACAAGCACATATTAGCGTTGAACTACTAAATAAGTCCCACACCAGATTTGTAAAAAACTGCCAACACTACCTCTATGACCCAGATATTTTGCATTATATACATAGTTTTAGTAGTAGTAGTAGTACTAGTAGTGCTTTAAAGGTTATTTCTGTACTGTTTTAGCTCTGACAGAGTTGCTTGGGAAGGCAGTGCAACCTCCCACTGACTTCAGTGGGCTTCTTAGGCAGATCCTTATCAGACGTGTGTTTATCTTGAGTATATTTCACAGTTTCTGCAACCATTTTAGCAGAAACACCTAACTGTGACATTACATCTGAATTTAACACATCCAAGTGTACTCAGTTCATGAAAACTGGATAAATAATGAAAAAAAAAAAAGGCAATGTTGTAATGCAAGTGCCCCCAATTGTGTACACATTACTGCAGTGTGCAGAAATAAAATATTTCCTTGAAATCAGTTCTCCAAGACTTACACCCCTAATCAAATGGTGAACCAATTTCTAACAACAGTGTAACGGCACTGACGTACAAATCCCATAGCCCAATCCTTTCTCACTTTAGATTAATTAGAGTAATACTATTTAAGTCAGAAAGTTATACTGCAAATTCCATAAACCCTCTCCTTTACAGAGTAGATGGTTATGAATTAACCACTATTACTGTAATTAAAAAAACCCTTTAATGTCAAGAAATATGCCTGCTGAAATTTTTCTCTTTTTTATAACCTATGGTATATATCAATCTCCTTTACAAAACTGGGGACTTCAGAGACCTGCAGAATTCACATTACCTGACAGCATTAGGTAGATGTGTATTTATAAACCAAATAGGGAAAGGTCAGCGTCTGTCTCTAGACTAGGAAATGTGTATACTGGCTATTATTCTGCTCTTTCAAGAGACACAAAATGGCAGGAAAGACTACTCTGCATTTAATGCATTTTGCCGTTGATTTATCTATTACAAAGCATTCACGTATCCATCCACACCACTGAAGCTGCATATATTGTTTCTGGTAGTAAAAACATATGCAAACTATAATTCCTTTACCATAACATTTATTTAATATATTTGAGAAATAGGAAGTTCTGTAT